CACACACACACACACACACACATCCACACTTACATACTATTACACACATACATACACATACACAAACTCTCACAGACACACACACCACGCTCAAAAACACCAGTCCTCACCTCTGTGCGCCTACCCAACCTTATGCCTCACACATCTACGTACTGCATACACAAATGCACGTTCATACACACCTTTAATATTGTATAACATGTCGACCATAACAGGGCACACGAAGTAGATGGGGAATCTTTACCAATATCATATATACCTATTCTACATGCTGCACTTTACCAATATCATATATACCTATTCTACATGCTGCATAGACAAAAGGCTTCCCAATTACGTCCGTTCATGGGTTGTTGACGAGCACACTGGTTTGGGTTCTTCCTCCTTCCCTACCAAACTTATGAATATCGTCCTTATCTCTCCCCCTTCTTCTCTTTGCATGTTACTCTCTAGTAACACCTCTAATCTTTCTTTAAAATAATATAACCTATTCGTTTTGCATGAGCCGTAAAACTTTTTGTTAAAACTAAGATGAAATACGTCCGTTCAGATGCTTAAAATTAGAGGTCACGCGGTGCAGAGTGGGGTCCTCAAAACGTTCTCTGACTCCTTGGTTCATTCTTTGCATGTTCCTTCTAAAGAGTGGTTATGGGAATGTCGTTGTGAACTCGTTGAGGTATCATGCTGGATTCGAAGTGCCAAAGAGAGGGCGTCACTAGCTAGTCCTGTTTCTTTATTATCTCTCTCTCTCTCTCTGTTTGTTTTGTCTGTCTGCCGGCCTAGATTCTTCCTTGCTCTTAATAACTTTTATTGTGTCGATGTGCTTCTGTTTACTCAAACAAACAAACATCAAACAAACAAGGTGGTCAAAGACTTGGGTTCGAAACCCAGAAACAGGCAGTATTTTGTCGTGTATCCGCACTCCCCATATGAAATGGGACCATACGGCGAATAGCGTACCATCGTGGTCTTGCAGAGTTTGGGTATTCTGACCCCAGCTGCTGTTCACAGGGATATTGGCAAACTTATTAGTATTCCCAGACACGTTATTTTCCTTAATCACCCAACTCCAATATGCTCAGCATGAATGAGCGGTACGTTAATTATTTGACTTTA